AAGGCCTTTGCAAGGTCAGCAAAGGTGGCAGTAAAGACCTGCCTGCTGTCCTACCATGACACCGTCCAGAACCTTTACCATAGCTGCAATGCACCTTTGTCCTGCCTGCAGTCCTGCCTGCAGTCCTGCCTGCAGTCCAAAGGAGTTTATGTGAGTCAAAGAAAGTGCTAATCTGTTTGAGTTGTGCTGTGTTGCATCAAGAACCAGACCATGAAGGAAATGAGAGGTCTGCTCTTAAAAGAATAAAAGAAAAGAAAAATGAGGACAAAATAAATGATAAACAAACGTAGATGGGACCAGAGACCTCTGTCTGGGACAGGAATTCCTTTAGCTCAGCATTGATCTGTGTTGCTTCACTGTTTCAGGCTCCACTCATGTCTTCTGACCTGCAAGCATCCAGAGCGTCGTCCCTCTGGCTGAAGCTGAGTCTGCTGCTCAGTGTCCTCCTGCTGCTGTCCTCTGGAGTCCATGGCCAGGGTAATTCCTAAACACTTTATTGGAAATGTACCCATTTACCTTCTGATATATTTTTGTTTTTAAAGGCTTTTGGTTATAATTTGTCAAAGAAACTCTTATTAACACACGTGTTTTACAAAGTATAGATGAAGGCCGAAGATGCTGCTTTCACAGATCTTTATTAGAGCATAGATCAGGCTTTCTTTAGCATTTCCGTCCGTCTAGAAACGCTGCTCTTGTTGAAGGTTCTCTTTGAAACTTTAACCCTTTCACTACAATGTTCAGTCTGAACACACACCAACCTTTACCCTCCAAGTTAGAAAGGATCTGTTGAATGCTGGAGGTCCAAAGATCTGCTTGTGGGATTCTCCATGTTCATGTTTGCTCTCCGTCTTCCTCATTTCCGTTTTGTCCTCTTCCTCTGCCGGCATTAAGCTGCTGTATTTAATATGCATCTTTGTTGCACTGTACGTGAGGGATGTCTCTCTGACATGCTCTTTGACCCTGCTGGAGTCATGTTCGTGTTTCTGCTTCAGTCCAGAGGACAAGACTGGCTTTGATGGATGGGGGAGGGGGGGCAGCTGGATAGAGGCCGGGATGATGGCAACATGAAAGACATGGCCTGTTTAAAAACCCCTTCTGGAAATTATGCAGATGATTTGAGAGGGTTGAGTAGTTCAGGAGGATGTGTGTGTGTGTGTGTGTGTGTGTTTGTGGGGGGGTAATCAAGATGGCTTCCTGGTCTTTGATCTTAGAGTCTCTTTGTGTCCACTAAGGTCGCCTGAAGCTGACGGTTCTGTCTGAAGATCGGCTGCAGATGAAGTGGAAGGAGGCCGATGGACCCGTTCAAGGCTACAAAGTTCGGGTCAGAACCTTGTCAGGTATGAACATCTTCTTTAGCTGTGTCGGACTGGAGAAGGAAACCTCTTATCCTAATAGTGGATGTGAAATAACTCTGTTCTTCTTGTTGGAAAATCATTGAAGCTCGTCACATTTTTGAGGTTTCTGGCACAAAGCAGGGGTTCTGATTTATGCTGCGGGGATCAAGCTGTAGGTCTAACCGGCACATGAGAGAAGACAGTAAATTACAAACCAAGGCTGCCAACCCTGAATGCTCTGCCTGCTGGGTCATGGCTTTATGACCAGGTCCAGTTGGGTTATGGCTTTATGACCAGGTCCAGTTGGGTCATGGCTTTATGATC